AGACAACAATTTTCCTCCATTGCCCTTCTTACTCAGTGTAAATTCAATCTGTTCTCTTTGTATGACATAAACAACAAATAGTTTCACAGGAGTGAGGCAAACCATATGTGAAGGTGTTTTAGAAAGCACAACAGGGAATACACCAAGCAAAGAAGCATCTGCATTTATTTCAATGTCAAATCACATGTGTATTATAAAAGGAAAGTTTATTGCTTTTATTAAAAAACAAGTTTACTAAATTGTGCTGTTTACAGTTAACTCTTCCTGCTCTCAGTTTCCTAATCAATTTGGGGTGGGGGTAGGGGTGGAAATCAGCAGGTAAAACTATAAAGTTTACAGGTTCAGAGGCAGGGCTGCAAATGGGTCTTCAACCCCATCCGCCCTACCCAGGTTGGCATATGCTGCCAAGAGCATTTTTATTCTCCACTCTCCCTTTGCCACCTGTCTTGGACAGGGGGTTCATCTGCTCCTGACTTCTGCAAGTGAGAAGTAAGGCCTGGTCCTTCCCCCCAACCCCAGATTCCAGAGGTGTAAACATATAAATAGAGATAGGATTTGTTTCTTACTGGGGCCCGAGTGAAGAGGGACACTGGTTCATCTTCTATCTTAAGATGATGCACAGACAAGCCCGAAGCCATGCTACCATGGGCCACGTGCAGCATTGCTGTGTGGGGCACTGGGTATTTCACTACAAAAGGCAGCACCCTACAATAAATTATTTTTACAGAAGCTGCCAGAGTCAGCTTAACACTTTTGGAGTGCAGGAGAAAATATTTCAAAGCAGCATTTAGCCTGGGTATGAGCTACAGGCACGTTGTTAAAAAGCTAATTGCATGGAGACAAAGGATGATCGTTACTTTTATATTAGTGTGTAATATTAACCCTTAAGAGCTGTGTTTGATGATAAGTTGCTGGTGATTGAAACTGCTAGTTCCTTATTTATATTTAAACTCAAGCCTGAATATTTCTAGAGACACAGAAAGTGTTTATGCCTTCTTTTGTTTTTTTCGTTTTTTTTCTTTTTTTTTTCTTTTTTGTAGGAAGACAGATTTTGAAATCTGGGATTTCCTCTCTCTCCTAAAACTAGGCATAAAAAGCAGTGTTAAAGTGCTGAAGTGCTGAAATTATGCCCCAGATCTGTATTCATTATGCACTTTCAGAAAATATGGTACTATAGTGACAAAAAAAACTATGAAAAATATTTCTTCCTCAAATTTTCTTGTTTCAGAAAACACAAGAACAGAGCTAGAAAGTTTCTGACAGCAGGTTTTGCACTGAAATAGTCAAAATTCCCCCAAACATTTTCTCTGTACAGAGTATAGAGTTTACCTGTCTTATTTAGACAATAACCACTAAAAATATTCATGTCCTGATGCAAGCTACGTGGGCTTTTATCTTTGGAAACACAACTTTCTTAGAGAAAGAGACACCGTGGTGTGAGGCAAGGTCTTGGGGCCAGCTCTCCAGGAAGGTCTGGAAAGCAGTTAGCGACCACTTAGCAGCTACAGGGCCACGAACATGGCCAACTACTTCAATGGCATGCACCTCCCTGTAATATGTGACCAGGTTTGTCTGCTGTCTTAACCTCTTCTCTTAGTCTTATGTTTTGGACTCATCCCCCTCACCACCAGTTCACCAGACCTAAGCAAAAGCTGCTGCTTTCAGCAACGCTGTATGCAAGCACAGTGGAAAAGTCACTCTGTGCAAGCTGCAAGATCGAAGCTGAAGGCTACGGGCTTCTGCAGCCAGAATGATCTTTGTATTACATGTGGGTGTAATGCCCACTGTAAGGAGGTTTGACTATGGCCTACGGACGTGAGACACCACTGTCAAATTAATATGAATGGTAAAGGACAAGCATGCTAACGCAATGGAAACAAAAAGAAAAATATACAATTATCAGAAAAATATTTGTGATCACAAAAGGTTATTTTTCTCATACTAGCTGATCTCCCCTTTGGCAAGCCCTATAAGAAAAGAGAAGATGAGAGAGAGGAAAGAAGAGAGGAAAAAAATATACAGGGAGAGATTGGGGGGGGGGGGGGGGGGGTGAAGAGACAGACTGAGACAGAGTGGATACTTTTAACTTATTACAGTACAACACTAGCTTTTAATTAATACAGGGCATGTACAGCTTTGAAGACTGTTGGTTGTGCAGTATTTTATGATAAATACATTTTATGGGATTTTGTTTTTAAAGAGGATTTTGTAAAATAACCTAGCCCAATAAATGATTTACCAGTTGCAATAAAAGATCAAGGAAATTGCTCAGACTGCATCTTGGAGCATCTAAAACTCTGAAGTTTATAGATATCTAAGCTGCCCCCAGATCTACAGTCCTATTAAAAATTTTTGTAGTAGCTAATTATCTTGCATTGCATTTTTTAAAGCTAACAATCCTAGTAGAGAGGAAGGTCTGGAAACAGACAAAGAGGAGTTGATGCCCTTTGATGGAGAAAGTAGGGGAGAAGGAAAGGAGAAGAGACAGACAGAAGTGAGTAACTGAAACATCATGCTGGCATAGTAACAGACGGAACTAACAGCTCGTAAGATATCGAATACTCCTGCAATCACACAGGCAAACTGAATTAACTCTAAGTTTAAAAAAAATATGTATTATTAAGGACACGAACTTTACATGGCATGCTAACTGTAATACCTGCATTACTTGACCAAGAGTGGAATAATTTGTTTTCCTATTTTTTTCTTTCTGATAAATATGTCAATATACAAGAAGCAGAGCAGAAAGCAAAGAAATCTTGTTATGTTTTCACCTCATGGGATTTTCGCATAATAAGTAAGTAAATAAAGCAAGCGCTGGTCCTTCTTTCAGACAGGATGACAGAGACAGTAAATAGAGCAGCATTTTAAAATAATAAAATACTAGCCCCGGCTGCCTTCACAGAAGGACAGGCAGCACAGTCACCATGAAGTGTGTCTTGTAGCCTTTGTTTCATACCAGGAATACATGGCTCATGCCCTGTAATTTACTGTGCTCAAACATACCTCTATCTCCCCAGGAAACCCCAGCAAAGCTAGTTTCCCAACAGGCATGGGGCTCCAAAGTCAACTGGGCTTCCTAAGAATAGACAAAGAACAGTAAAGGAAAAGCAGACAGAAGAAAGAACCATCTGTTTTTCTTGGTCACCAAACCAGACAGTGAGGTGCATGCCACCTTAGAAAAAAGCCAGTTCCTTCTGCTCCTTTGGACACCAAAGGCCACCAGCTTCAAAGTCTGGGGCCAGGCTGCTGCAGGTACAACAACCAGAAACCAGTATTCACTCCCAAAGTGCTTTAGCGCTGAGGAAGGATGGGCTTGGTCACCTTTCCCAACACTTTAAATATGAACAACTTTGAAAATAATAAAGGATTGGTGCTGCTGACTTTAAACATTTATTCTATCACTGTAACTCTGCAAGACAGGGAAGAGACAGTGAAGTTCACCAACACAGAAAGCAAGCTCCTTGAGATAGAAAAAGCTAATGAAAATTTGGTTAATTTAATTTGAAAATTGAAGTAGGTAAAAAAAAAAAAACAAACAGTGAGAGTAAGCAAGGATATTGGAATGCATGCTGCTACTCGAAAAACTGTTCTTTAGTTATGGCCAGGATGGGGGAGTCCATAATTGTCAAAAATAACCATGATGAATTTGGCAGAATTATGGCAGTCTAATTATATGATTGTGTGTTATTTCTCCACTCAGTTGCTGCCTCTTGCAACACTCAGGGCTGACCACCCCCAGGGTCAAGTTCAGATTTCTATAGTGAAAACACACTTTGCATTTGTACGATCTTTACATAACTTTCTGCCAAACTTTAAAGGCACCAAGCGAATGTGGCAAGTGAGAGCAGGGAATGACAGGACTAGTGATGCTGAAGGCTGCTTGGCTTGCCTGATTAGATAATCCCCCTTTCAAATGTTTTGACAAGGAAGTAATTTAAAACTACATTTTCCCAGACATCCACCCTATTCTAATGCTCATTTTCTGGATGCTTTATTTGAAACTCTAGGTGCTGATTTGCAGAAGCCCATAGGTGCCAGAGATGTACATTGCAGCTGGGGTTTAAACATACGAAACAAAATACAGAGCTGTGTAAAAGACTCAGATCATTTTATTAGATGAAGGATTGGGTCTTCATTGTTTTCTACTAATTACAAGTAACTGCTCAACTTTTGTAATTACCTAAACGGTGAAATCCCAGAAAAATAATTATTTACATGTACACTAAAAGATTTGATTCTGATACAGACTTTGAATTTCACTTTACCAAGTCATTCCTTGTATGTGTATTTTAAAACAGGGAAAAGTTGTATTTAAAGCGACATCTAAGAAAGGTACTGTATTGCTCTTAAAATGCTGAAAAGATTTTACTAGAAATCCTCTTTCATTTCACCCCCTGGTACAACTTCTCAAAGCAATACAGGCATGTCAAAATTGCATTGTCAGGCAAACAACGTTTCCAAATTTTTTTCAAATCAACTTCAATCATAAATAACACTAAGGAGTCAAAGAAACCCCACATTTTTGGTTACTTACAAGTGCTAGAAATATCTTACCTCATGTCCCTATCTGTGAAGGTAAAACAACACCCTTTTCTTACTTCACAGTGATCTTACAAAGAAAAAGTAACTCTTATTGACAAAGTTCTAATGTGAAGGAAAATACAAGAAAATCAGTAATTCTGAACTCCGGGCAGGGTCTGCATGTTGTAAATAAGGCTAGGGGCCGCAGTGATCAAAAAGCAGAAAACAAAATCCTTCATATTTACTCAAATAAATAGCACACACCCAGAGAAATGAGCTCTGTGAAGAAATAGCAGATGATGTCATAACCATAACATGCACACACAAAGGGGACACACTGACATTGCAGTGGTAATTGTATCTGTGTTGGATTTTGCAGCCTAACAACATTCACCTGAATGTAGATACCTCTATAACACAGGAATAACAAGGCATACTTTCTGGTTGTGAAACTATTTGATGCTGAGATTACTTACCACACAGAAAAAGTGTATTTCTCTAACTCCTCCAAGTAAAAATTGGTCTCTGCAGATGCTTTCCCTTCTTCTGTGCTTCCCCTGTTCCCAGGATCTGACTTTTCTCGATAACATTGGTCAGGTGAGTTATTCCAGTTGATCTTTAAATGAAAAGAAAAAAAAAAAACAAACAAGCTAGAATAGTAAGGTAATCAGCTGGGCACAGATAGCAAATTAAGAGCTGCCAGTTCACCCTAGCTTTAACTTCTAGCTCTGTTTTGCTCCTCACTCTGTAACAAACCTGGAAAACATCAGTGACAAAGCTGGTTCAAAATGCTTAAAAACAGAATAAACTATTTCAGGTAGAGGAGACCCACAAAGATCATCTAGTTGAACTGCCTGATCAATTCAGGGATGACCAAAAGTTAAAGCATGTTGTTTAGGGCATTGCCCAAATGACTCTTAAACACTGACAGGCTTGGGGCATCAATCAACTGTCCAGGAAGCTTGTTCCAGCGTTTGGCCACCCTCTCCATAAAAAACGCTTCCTAATGTCAAGTCTAAATCTCCCCTGGCACAGCTTCCATTCCCATTGCAGAACCATTCTCATGTATCCTGTCACTGGATCCAAGGGAGAAGAGCTCAGCATTTCCCTTTCCTTTTCCCCTTCTCAAAAAGCTGGAGAGAGCAGCGAGGTCACCCCTAAGCCTTTCTCTTCAAACTAGACAAGCCCAAGATCCTCAGCTGCTCCTCACAGGACATCCCTTACAGCCCTGTCACCAGCTTTGTTGCTCTCCTCTGGATGCACTCAAGGACCTTCACATCCTTTTTAAATTGTGGGGCCCGGAATCCCACACAGTATAATTCAGTGAATTATGTTCTAAAAGGTTTGACAAACCCTGTCAAGGAGGTGTAACCTTGTGCTGACTCCAAAAATCATCCAATCTCCCTACACCTGCTTGCTTTTTCCCATGTTGTGCACCACACTCCATCAGTACAAAAATTTGGACGCCCACATTGTAAAACATACGGAGAGAACTGATCTGCGGAAGGAATTAATGCTGCTTGGCCTCTTTCTTTTCATTTCTTTTATTAATTGGGTTAGCTCTCAGCTGGACCCATTCTGATCCAGGCCACCCTGCACTGGTGCCAGCACAAGGAAGGAGAGGGACAGTACTGAACCTGCGCTGGTGCCAGTTTCCACTGATTTAAAATACTGCTTGAGCTACAAAGTACAGAATCCTAATCTGTGCTCATCTCTGGAACAACATGTTTGCATGCACAGGGTCTAATTCAGCATTGGCATTGCCTCTCTTTGGAATGACTGTTGGGTTCCTCGAATGCTTGATGTTGACACCCCTGGATAGAGAACCAAACATCACTTCCACCAAGAGACACAATGAGGTCATAACTCACCAAACAGACATCTGAAGGTGACTCCATGAATCTATCTATTAATACATTCCTAGTCACAAAACCAAACTCTGTAAGGGTTTGTTAACATTTAGTGAAAAAGCCCTGTGAGAACAAAGGGATGGAAGTTAAAACCTGTTATGTCCAAACTAGAAACAGCACTTCCTTTTTTGTTCTTTTTTTTACACAGAGATGGAAAATGGAGATGGAAAATATATTGTTTAGAGATAACCACAAAGGGAAATTTTGTTTCTCCATCCCTTGATGCCGATTTCATGGATCAAGTGGTTGAAATTTTCTAGCCTATACTAGAAGATAGCTTAAATGATTTCAGGTCAGTTTTGACTTTTGCATTTATGAAATCTGCAACATACAAAACATCTAGGTTTATTCTATTATTCTCAAAAAATCTTAGGGCTTCCAGGGAATGCAGTGTTGTCATTAGATGTAGCCACATTACTGCATATTTTGCTAATTATGAAAACTACAAAGTTTTTTTTTTTAAACTCAGTAAACTACTTTGCTCTAAAAATCAAATTTGTATTATGAAGTTTGGATTACATAGACCTCATCTACAATTTGAATTTTAACTTAAGGCTCATGGACATAACAGATGAAAGTTCCTATCCATATCTACATAATGCTAAATATGGTTATCAATAAACATGATACAATCATCTTCTTTTCAATGGTCATTGGAAAACCTGCTACAAGCAGTGGAATATATTGCCAAAAAACAATTTTATGCAAACATGAATAGTTACACAGAGCAAAATTGTGCTGCATGCTCAAAGCAGTTTTTGAATACAAAGACTAGGCAGTTACAGATAAGACTGCAGCCACATGACTGCCCAACTTAATTGCCTAGGAAAAGTCAAGGTTTCAGTGTAGGTAGTGTGTCCAAAGTACCTTGCTGGCACTGACATTGCCTCCATGAAACTATCCCTGTGCAAAGTAGATATAAAAACATTATTTAAGACATAAATCCCAAAGGTGTTAGAGAGTATTATGAGAGAATTTCTCTGAGACGGTGTTTGATCTTGTCTGTAGTACAAAAGCAGAAGCTCAGTCATCTGCATGAGGGTGGAATTGTGGCCAGAGAATATATTTTACGTGTCTCAGAAGTCAGTGACCGGGAGCACTTTGTCCTTTACAGCCACCATTCAATACCTTTAATGCATGCAGTGGTGTGCACACCGACCCCAACAAAAAATGAGTTGTCACTAATGCATATCACTCAGAAGATACTCACTGGGAAACTACTGGCAACTCCCTAGCATATATGAATTTGGGGAGGGGGGGTAAGAGCAAGCAATAACACCTTTGGTTTTGCTGATATGTTCTATATATCCTCAAAAGGTAAGTTCATCCACAAAAGCCTTTCTGTTGCCTTTGTAAGAAAATTATAAACTTAAATATATATATATATTTACAAAGAAAAAAAAATAAAAAGGACAGCTAAGGAGAATAATCCACTATGTGAACTTCTGCCTTAAGTCTGTTTTTTACATTAGTCTTTAATTGTTTCCAATATATGATTACTTCGTAACATTATTTTAGAAGATGGTTTCAGTTCCAGCGATACAATTAAGTCTAAATGACATAATTCATACCAAATGCCTAAATCTTGAACATGCTAAAACAAGGATCTCTCTGAAGATGAGGGTTCTCTCATCCTATTAAAAAAGAGGGGCTCTTACAACCTTTGAAAGGAGATTTAACATGCTCACTTTTCTTTTGTGCAGAAGTATTCTCATAAGAGGCTCAGTTCAGAAATCTATTTAAACATGTCAATAACTGTAAGCTTCTGAGTCATTTCACTGAGTCCAAAGGGACTAGACAGCGCTGAATAACCCATGGGCTTACGCACCTTACTGAAACCAGGTCACTTTAATGTGGCTTTGAAAGCCACCCACAACTGAGGTTCCTATAAGAGCGTGGCATTTTGATCAAAGGCAAAGTGCTATTATGGGATTGTAGGAAATGAATTTCACTCTGCCACTCCCATGGGTTGGGTTGCTTTGCCCATTACACCCACTCCATCAGTCCTTAAATTGGTTTTCCTATAGATATAAAGTTACACACATGCAAACATCAGTGTGATGTTATGTTTCTTCAAGTTATCATTTCCTCCCTAAAGAAATAAATCATTTGCAATACTGCAACCCCAGTAATTTAAAATTGAGGAAATTTCCAGATGGCCTATCTAATTTTGCTTATGGATATTTATATGTAGATCATCACACTAATGAAGTCAAAGTTGTGATTACAATTTGTAGCTATTGAGTATTTGTGCCATAGTACAGGTATGAGCACATAGTACACAAGTTTGTAGTACTCTGAATACCATGATGACTTTTTTCCATGGGCAACTAAAAGTATGTTAAAATGTTTTAGAATACATCTAGGACAGGGTGAGACAAATTGCCAGAATGATTAATCTGAATATTCTTGTTTGCAGCCAAGCATATCTAAGGAGGGAAGTAGAGCAACACATAGAGAGAAAAATTGCATCCTTCACTGGAAAATATCTAATTTAGAACAGATAATGCAGGTAGAGGCAATTCTCAGGCATACAGTGTGTGTGTCTTAGTTCTCAGGATTTATATTATATTGAAAAGCGTCAGTAGTATTTCACCCAGACAGTGTTGATGTGATACAGATGTGATTTCATGGTAACTTGTACTGATGACACCATATTTGTTCACAAACTAATTATGTCCTTGACTACAGATGTCCTTGATGCTACAGATAAGGATAGTGAAGATATCTAAATGTAGGGGTCTTCTGCACAAGGACATGAAAGCTTGGTTATAGATGCATAGGAAATCTATCTTGTGTTTGACCATTACTGAAATAATATCATCCTGCAGCACAGCCTTGATCTAGCTGCTGTTGTCTGATTACTGGATGGTCTTTCCTATTACTCCTTTGAAATTCCTTTGCTGCAGAGATTAGCTTTCTATAGATCTATGCAGGAGACAGCAATACTCCTTGGCCATTTGCTGCCTTATGATAGCCATAACAAAATACACAGTGATAAAGAAACACAACAACAAGAAGCAAGCCCCCAAATAATTCCTGAATAGCCCTGGTAGAAGCTCCAAACATTTTAAAAAGTGAGGTTCAGATCAAGTACAGTACCTTGTGATGTCCTGCTTGGCCTTCCCTCACGCAAAACTTGTCTGCACAGCCATTCCAATCTTGGTAAAAATAATTCTCTGTAAGAAAATACAAAAAAAAACATTTTTATATTGGTACATAAGATAAAGTTCTGGAAAGGAAGGAGCTAGATTTTGTTCCCTCTTCCACCAAGATCCTGCATGACTCCAGGAAGATATTTTTTTCCCCTCCATTGTAGTTCTAAATAGATGGTTAGTTCTCTCCTACCTTCCAGAAATGTTAGGATTATAAATGCAGAGAAAACTTCATATACCGTGGTGTTGGAAATTACAATTGCATAGACATGAAGTGTATGTGCTGGAAGTAGAAAAAAAGAAATAAGAGAAATAAGAAGAATGTCAGTGAAGATTATTTTCACCACCTCAGGATCTGTTCTCTGGAAAAGAAGAGAAAGTTTGTTTTCTTGTAGGGCCATGGCTGCGGGTTGAGAATGAGGCACAAGTTTCCAAAATACTCAGTTCTCTAAGCAATGTTTACTCAAGTAGGGCATCCCTCAAAGGTCTGCAAAGCAGTGACCTGCCGAGTGAACAAAAATGTAGTCCCACATCAGAAGAAGCAGCGGTGTGATAAAAATAAAGGTCTGTATTACACTTCTTAATGCACTACATGTGGAGGATAAGTCAGAAAAATACTTAATGATTATGTCACTTTATTTTTTTCCAGTTACTTCCGCTTCCCCTCAGTAGAAGACAGTGAAGTGTACTTAAAATCACATTACAGGAAGGAGCTGCTCTTAGATGTTGTACTTGTAGACATACAACACAAACAAACACAATGTCATATGCATGAATATCTATGTCTTACCTTCTATATATACACACACATATGGGTGTATATATGCTGAGCATTCACAGTGGATGAGGTATTTACAAGTATTTACATCTGGGGTGAAAGAAGAGGTCTACTGAGATCAGTGAAACTCCTAAAACACAGATGCTGGGTATGTCACATGTGTGCACAAGTAATATAAACACATAAAATTGTCTCCACATATTCCATATATGTGATACATGTATGAACCCATAAATACATTATTAAAATATAAATATACCTTTGTAAAGATGGTTACTGTGGTTTTCTTTGTTTTTTTTTTCTTTTTTTTTTCTTTTGGCTCACTAAAATGGGTTGCCAAATAGCTTTGCTGAAGTAATGAAGACTGACAATGTTTTTGGACACAAATGAATAAGGCAGTAACTAATTTGGCCAAAAAAACCAGCACAATAAAAAGAATAAAGAAAACAATGATATTCTACATTTAAGAAATGGGTGGGAGAAGAAGCTCAAGTTTGTTATTTAATCATACATGCTCCTTTTATATTTTATTTGTAAGGCTCTGAATGCTCTTTCCTTTCTATACCAGTGAGCTCATTACTTTAATTCCTCATAGATTTCTCTGAACAATTTTTCCTAAGTGAAAACAATGTAATTCTTCAATGGCTGTAACAGTAAGAAGCTGCTCAAATTAAAGATCAATAAAAAGTACAGAAAAAAACGGTATGAAAATAAATAAATAAAGGAGAAGATGGGAAATGCTTGCAATTAGATAGGATGAAAAATCTAAGAAGAAATTAAATTTAGTTGTAATACATTTCCCATTCTTTTCTTCATGAAAATTACTACTGAAGTGGTTTTTTTTTCTGTAATTTAAATGTTAAGCTGCCAGATGTGTGTCTCATGCTTGAAGAGCTGAAGCTTTGCATTATTTAGCATATTAAGATTCACAGAATTTAAAAAAGGGCTCCTTTATTGCCTGGAGGTTCTAATTAAGTAAACCTTAGCCTGGTACATTTAAAACTTGCAATACAAGAGATTTTGCTTTCGTTTTTTTTTTCTCTACAGCCAAGTCTCATCAATATAATAAATATGGAAAATACTTAGATGATATAATTTTTCTTTGGCTTGAGGAATTAAACCTATCTATTATTTTAAGAACTTTTTAATAGAGGCCAGCAATCAGAAAGACATTTAAAGACTCCAGTCTACTTTTTAATCATGGGAGTTGCTCTTAGTGGGGGAAAACGTGTCTTATAAAACTGAGCTATGTAGAAATTGTTTCTTCCACATGCACAAAACAAAGCAGTTCTGAGAAAGAAACAAGACTCACACAGTTCTTTATTATTAAATTCCATTTTACGTTTTTATAACTTGTTATAATTGACCACAGAAAACTAATAAAGCATTAATTAGCTGCACTATCAGGAATTTGTTGGAGTTGGGATGGCTGCATCAGAAACTGTAATAACACAGAAATTCCTTTGACATGCAGTGCCCATAAATCATACCTTAAATACAGTTAGTTTTGCCATTTTAGAAAATGTCAAAGGTGTCAACTTTGTCCAGATACAGCACTTAGCAGTGACTATTTTAGTAAATTGACTGAAAATACATTTTGTCCCTGACAGGGGAACATAATACCATTCATGATAAAAATGAACGACTTGAGGAGGAGAAAATAATACCAAGAAAGAGTGATCAAAACCAGGTATCATAGCTATGATAAAGGTACAATGGCAGGTGTAAACTCTCTGTTAATAGGTTTATTTGAAGTCAACAAACACATGCATAAGAGCAGGAAAATGCGGCTATACCAGGGCCTGGAAAAGACAATACTATTCTTATTCCAATGTTATAAATCTGTGATGAGGCATTAATAAGAAGTCCAGCAGAACAGTTTTAATGTTGTACATTTGTATAAGAAAAACAATGGGTGGCCTTTTTTCCCACCATTGTGGAATGGGCATAAAAAACAGTACAATGCCTGGATTTGGGTAAGTATGGTGAGACAAAGTTTGTTTCCAGACCCTGATAATACTGAGAACTGTCTCATTTCTTCGTGATATTAAGTCCCAACAAAACACTTTAGATGCTGCACACAGCTTACACTTAATATGGAATACAAAGTGTCACCCGTACCAAGACCGTGAGCTCAGGTGGGACCTACGTTTTTAAAACAAGGTGGAAAGAGGCTGGAAACTAAAATGTTAATGCTACTCCATTACTTTTCTCAGCTTCAGCCTTCTTGGGACAATAGCTGAGAGTAGCATGACCTTTAAAAATGAAGAGTGCCTTATTGCTTCTTAAACCTTATAGACTGTAATGCAGCCTTTTTTTTTTCTTCTAAGTTCAGTCTGGAAATTATCCCTTTTGGTTGTGTCTTCTGTAACAAATACTGTGGTACAACAAGACTGCATCTGTAGAATTAAACCAGTGATTCAGAGGACACCATGAAACGGTGAGGACCCCACTGTGCGTTGAAGAGTTTATGTCAGACTAGCTCTGGGAGTTGATGGTCCATTAATACCTAACACACACCTAAAGCACATCCGCTTTCTCAGCTTCATCCTAAAGTCCAGTGCTTGCTCTCTGAGATCACTCTTCAATGAGAGTCAGAGATCAGCAACTGGGGTAGGGTTTTCACTTCCAAAGTGCCCTAGAAGCCTAAATGCTAATGTAGATACACCCTTTTTGAACTGGAATTAGAAGGGATAGGAAAGAGATTCTCCATGATGTGAAACTTTTGGAGGCTGCATATAGAACTAACATTGTGAAATTGTGAGATTTTGACATGGAAAATCAAACAGCATGGTAAGAGTCCCAAAGAGAAGAGTTTGGATTACACGAATGTAAGCAGGAGCTGAGTTTAATCCTATTTGCAAGACTCAGCCCAGTCTTTTACACAGTCCTGCACAGAGGAAGAAAAGACCAGCGAAGAAAGAAGAGGTTCAGCCATCTGAGGTTCTGCCTTTGAGGCTCTAACCTGTAGTTAGTGAAGGGCAAGCAGTCTTCACCTTAAAACATCACTTTGTTCCCTTTAAAGTGGCACCCATGAGGAACTACCAGTGAGAATAGCTTTGGGTTGTTTTGTTTTATTTTTTTGTTTAGGTAGTTATTTTTGCATCTGCATACAACTGTTATGTAGAAGCAAACAACATGTCAGAAGGAGAACCACCTCATTGTAGTATAATGAGAATACTGAAAGGAAGGCTTACCAGTTTTCATGACATTGCTTCAGAAGTGGCTGTGAGCATATATGTAATCCTCTCAACAAAACTTTCTCACTTAGACAAGTATGTTTCAAGAAATGAAATAATGTCTCTCCAAAGGTAATGATAAAATTAGAATGCTGTCTCTTGTGTCTGGTATTTTGATATGGATGGGACATCTTAATATGTTCTGAATAAACTTCTGAGTGTTATCTAATAGTGTACTAACTCCTCAGCCTGATGCCATCTTTGCTTAGGTGTTATTTTGAAGCTTTTTTTTCAGACAGAAATAGGATTTTTTTGCTATGAAAGGACACAATTCACTTCCCAACATTTTTCCACAGATGTGGAGAGGTTTTTAATTAGAGCTCTTAAATATGATAAATATTTAATATCTAAATTTAAATATGCAGTTTATTTTAGAAGACAGACATTGAACAAAAGTATCCTTCTGAGCTGTAAAGTTTGAAAATCAGGGACTAAAAATTTTTCCTGAGTGTGCCATAGAAAGATGACAGAGAAGAGGGTTGAAAGAACAGCAGTAGTGCCGTCAAACACCAAAAATGAGCAGAATGCAAGCTGCTTCTAACAGGCTGACTAGCAAAATTTATGAGAAATATTTTACATGTTTCCAGGGTTTTTACTATGGAACATGCATAACTGGGGGCTTTGAAGAAAGAAACCAGGCTTCATATGAGAGGAAGGCTGGGGGGCAGCTGCCTGCTGGGATGAGCATTGGTGGGGATGAAAATGCATGCACTGTTGAAGCTCCAAATTAAACATCAAATACAGTATAAATTGTAGTTTATACATGGTTTTGCAGAAATTATCAGGGGATTTTAAGATGAAGCTTTTTTTCCCCCCTTAGTTCTGAGTGCATATATTGAGTTAGAGTTTAGTGGTTACATTACTGACAGTGCTCCATCACAGAAAATCTGTGCTTTAGTGACATGCCTTTTGAAACCACAGTTTTGCATTAAATTATCATGTAATAGATTTAGCAAGTACCAGAAATTGAGTTCATAAAAAAAAAGTCTGTTGTCTCAAGAATTAAGATAAGCAAAACCATTTTTCACTTAATTGAAATCCATCAATGCTTTTGGAACTCTGCTTGTAGCCCAGGTAGACTCCCTATTATACTAGATCCGTTTTTAAAATCCTCACTAGATTATATAATATTATCTCTTAGAATATATTGAGTCAGATCCTCTGATGATGTAATACAATGCCTTTTGAATCTCACTTTGCTTTGATACGGCAGTAATTCGGTAACTTTCAAAATCAGGCCACTTGTATAACTGCATTGCTTCAGGGTATTTGTAAGAGACCCTCTTGAATTGAAAATGTGGGCTCTAAATGCTTTGCTTGGCATTGGATCTCTGCCAAACTCCACCTAACTGATTTGAATAAAAATTCAACACAGTAGTTAGACCTAGATAAGCAACAGTAACAGGGGTAAAGGGAGAAAGGGGAGAAGAAGTAGATGTCTACCTGCACAACTAATAATTAGGTTTTGAGTCATACATTCTGAAGGAGGAAGCATGGAAATGTTGGCAAGGAAAAGAAATCGGCAAAAAAATTAAAAGCAGCCAAAAGCAAATGGCAAATACAGTTAAATGTTACTTAAAAAAACTTTGTTCATACAGGTCACTCATGTTTTAAATACCTTGAGTATTCTAAGATGCTTTGCACAACTAATCTTGGGCAAATGAACTAAATGGACTTCAAAGTAGATTCCACTACAGTCAAAGTTGAAAAAAAGCATTTCTAAGCTAGGCTGTGATTACATTCTTGGGAGGACCAATATTTAGAAAAGACGTGTTAATGAAGTGTTGATCTTATTTGGAGGTATATTGAGAACCCTTGAAAGAAGGAAAAAATTTATTACTTTTTTCTGTAACAGGCTTAAACTTTTGCCACCAACACCATTTAACAAAAATTGATGCCAGCTCTGTATTCTACTTCTTACACATCTATGATATTCAGCAACAATATTTAGTGTTTACGGATCCTGAGTAAGTAATGATATAATAGCTCCTACCTATATTTGTGCCTGCTCAACATGAGAAAGTCAACAAATTTACCTATAAGAGCAGATGCATAGTCCTAGCCTTCTTGGCAGTCAACAGATGAGGACAGCTTCAAAAGGACAGTTACATTTCATGGGTTGCCATAAAAGGAAAGCTAGCATATCAATTGAATTCTCATCAACATCCACAGGTTTTACCGCAGGATTTTGGGAAGTCTGCAGACTCAAAACCAACTAAAAACTACTGTTTACACAGATAAGAGGTGGGAACTGTCCTCTCCCTAAAACGAAAGCTACCCCTCACCTTGTTTGTGGTGGGTGGCAATGTCACAAGCAATGGGCACAACTGTAGATTTCAGATCTGCTCCCAGTGCCCTCTCTCTACTGCCTCAGCACAAAGGGGAGCACAGGCAGCAGCAATTACTGTGCCTGCATAGCCATTTTTCTATCCTGAGACAGAAAGCATGATTCACTACCCAGGTTACTAGGTGGTGGTGGCTGTCTATAACCTTGGTCCCTTCAGATCACTGTCCCATAGTAAATCTGCCTCTGACCATCAGTGGTGGTATCTGAGTTTAGGGCAGGTTGTAAAAGTTGTGTTACCCAGTTCTCAGACCCATACATTTTACTCAGTACTTCAAAAAGCAAAAAACAAAACAAAAAAAAAAAATCAAGACAGTGCAACTTGTAAGGCTTTGCCTTCAAAAGAAACCCCACATCTCAAAAGTAAATGTTAACTGATGCTAATACAGACAGGCATTCTTACACGATTTAGCTCAGCACAATTAACAAAGGATATTGCTATTAACATGTTCCAGTAAGAAAAATATACTTCCCAAGAACCTAACAGCAACATGTTGTGATCTATGGATATAAATGACCAAATAAAATGAAAGGATGTAAAAATGTCACGGAAACACCAGCCATAATCTAATGTTGTCAGTGAACTCCACACACACCTTGTAATTACTAACACATTTGGCCTACAAATACTTTTTAGACAGGAGAGCCTACCACTTCTGTACCTTTTTGCCTAAGCTGCTTTTGATCCCTCACAATTGATTTAAACTATTCCATCGCTTCCTTTGCTTAGAGAAATAATGATGAGATGATACCACAGGGTGAGGGGGAAAGGAGAGGGGGGTGTTTACACGCATGCCAAGCAGATCTATTTGCAAACTTTGAGTAAATTAAATAACACAATAAAAGTCCTAACCTGCTGGAAGCTTTTTAAGCTCTTCTCTTTTCCTCCCTGCTTCTTCTAGCACACACGTTTCTCCTCCTTTCACAGCATTAAACTGCTTTTCCACTTCCTTTACAACAGTGGGAATACTTCCCTTATGGGTGTCAGGATCTTTCGAGGAGGTCAGAGGTTGCCCTGCAGAGGAAATGACAAGCTGTGAAATGTAAAAGAACAATTCCTTCCACATGTTTCCTTGCTCCAGGAGCAGTAAGGGGTTGTCGGCTAGCATCACGATGGGATGGGCCAGGTCTTTGCCTAGCAGTCCTGTCAAAACTAATTTACATTAAAGACCTGCACAACTGTTTAAAGCTTTACAACTTCAGCAAGTTTCAAGGACTGCCAAAGACACGTGGTACAAACCAACCTTATTTTAACAGCCAAGCAGGCAGATAGAAAGAAAACAGACTAAAAAAAGGCTCGTAATTGTACCTTAACCAGATAAACTGTATACCTGAAAATTATTCTTCTGTATAATATTTGTTTCTATTACAAACTCATCATTTGGGAATTGAAAACATTTCAGCTCTTCTAACTTTTTGTCTGGTTGATGCATGCAGCACATAAGTCACGTGCTGCTGTTAGACAGCAAATCTTGTAGGGGAGGGAAAAAAATGAGTTTAAGAAAAAAAATAAGCTATTTGTTCATTGTAAGAAAGTAAGTGTCCTTAAATCCATTCTCAAACAGCTGAGTTGCCTTTTTCTTTACTCTTCCAAAAGTACAGCAGAACAGGGAGAATTAGGGGACAAGCAGACTTTCTGGAAAGAAAATGTTACAGCACAGAAAATCTGTATGCAGGTGTTTAGTCCAAAGACAGTTGAGGCTGTGGGAGTTTTTCCATGTGACAAATCTCCCCAGCAAAGCAGTAATAACAAACATCTCTGCTATCCTAGACACTGAAAGCAATGTAGTCATAATAATAGAATACTGTACACAGGAAAATACAGCCTGTGTTATACCTCTACTATACAAAGATCACCCTGCTGCTGAGGCCAAACTAGCCTGGCTACCTTTGAACATTTTGTTTCAAAACCTTGGCTGATAACACCTCTCCTCCAACAGAGCCAGGCTGAGAAAAACTCCCATCTTTATTTCACTCTGTCATGCTTGGGATAACTTGTGGTTAAAAAGATGTACAATTGGTCATGACTATTTAAATATAGGTATTGATTTCTGCTGTAATTTGACCAAAACCTGCACACAGTTTGGCACAAAATAATTTTTTCAGTATCTTGATCACCCTCAGCAACTCTTCTACCTTCTCCCTTGTAAGGGAGGAGAACTTTTTAGGTCTTGACTGCATGTCATTATACGCTAGTAAAGTGATCACCATAACTTCAGGACTTCAAACTGGCCAACATAAAGAGGTGTAAGTTACTAGAATGGGAAAGGTTTTCCTCTGGTTCTACAAGTTACCAAGCGTCAAAGTACAATACATATATAAGTATATATAATACGGTTTTGTACTTGCCTATTTTATTTGATCACCATTTCTGATGGGCACAAATAGGTATTTGTCAGAGTAACAGCCCAGACAGAAAAGCGAGTGTTTAGAAGAATGTTCCCAACAAGTGCATAGTAAAGCTTCCCAAATGAGACTTTGACCTAAAAGTGTTTGAACTGGATAACAAATATAGGAGTGATGTTCAGCTACTTTTCTGAGGATGAAAGAGCAGTTACAGAGTTACACTGACATTTTGCACACGTGAATTCCCTCTTCTATGGACACTGAAGTCGAAGGGAATCTTGCTTTGGATGTCACAGTGAGAAAAAGAGTTCTATTCAAGACTTTGTATATTTATGGACAGACACACTTTTCTGAAGTTTTCATGCATTTAGAAGACTGGGTTGGTTTAAATCCAAGCCTATCGAGGCAACGTTTCTGTTTTTTTTAATCAAATCTTCCTACCTATACTTATTCTGTTAAAGTTGTTACCTTCCACACAATGGCTAATGAATTCCACAGAAAAAAAAATGTCATTTATTCATTGACAGGGACTGTTGATCCCTTTATGGGGCAACAGAACAGCCACAGAGGCTTTTCTCAAAAAAAGTAAAGGATGGTGGTCATGAAAGCAGAAGCTGTCTTTTTCCATGAATCTCTCATGGAATACCACTTCAAAAGAACAGAGAGAAGATACTATTTGGACTAAGAGATATGCTAGATCTGATACTGTGCACCGTGATCTACAAAGCAGGTAGAACGGGAGGTATTGGGTTGTATTCCCCTGCACTGTACTCTGGAAGAAAGATTCTGTGCAACAGGGAAGAGCCATACCTAGCCCAACACAGGGTTGTGGTTTAAAAGAATAATGCAGCCTGGAGTTAATGGAAATAATATGAAGGTTCTGTCTTAAACTTCTAAAACAAAGACAAATTTGAAGTGAAGATTAAAATACTATCTCCTAACCTGCTCTATTTTCTTATATGTTGCAGTACCATATACATCATCGATATGTAAGATCATTCACTATTTAGACTACTGCAGTAGAGTGAGTTACAGAACACTAGTCTTCGTTTAGAGTGTTCTTGCTTTCTCTGGTTTGTGTCTCAACTTTAATGTAATTTTAACAGAGCTTTTCCCCACACACTTTTGGTGGTTTAACAGATATAATATAGTATTTATAGAGCATATCAATGTGTGACAGCTTGCCACAGATCATAAACACATTTTTCTGTTGGAAATGTTGGAAGTTGTGATTTTCACCATGTGATCTCCAGTTCTCTAAGGTTTGCTCCTTTAATTGTAAATAGCCAGAAAGTCATCAAGCTAGCATTTAATAAACTTTTAATTTGAAATGGATTACCACATGTTGTGTTTGTTTACCCATTATTAAATCTCTTAGCAACATATCACCAGCAGAAACAGCATACTGTAGGACTGCATAGAAACATTAAAAAACAAACCCATGGGGGATATTAGCAGCTAATAATACCTTTAAAGAAGGTTCCAAGAAAAATAAATAAATATAAACAATATCAAAAATTACTCCTTAAAATTTTGTTAGTGCAAATCTGTTTGGCATGGAAATTGCAGATATTCCATGATCAGCTTATTAGCTTATTTCAGAGGTCTGCACACAAAATACAATATATACTAATGTTCTTACTCAGTTCTCAGAAATACATCTTCTGGACTTCTCAAACTGCGTATCATGAGTTTTTCCCATGTGTTTCCAGAATTGTGACCTATTAAATTGCATCCTCTCTGTATACATGTGCTTCTGCATGCATGTGAAGACTGATCATAGGACCAAACAATGGTAAGGACAAGTTTGATTTATTAAGAACTTGTCCATAACTCTTCTGTTATGAAGAAGAAGAAAAATTTTGTTGAATGTTGAGAAAAATTGTCTGCAGCTCCACTTTTTGGATCAGCTCTTCATGGCTTTGTGCTGCATCTCAGGGCACCATAGCAGACACGTAGAAGATATATGGCAACAAAAATGACCTTGCTCCTCAGTACAATGTATGTTTACACTTCCATGCTGCTGGTATCAGGGTGGTAATATAAAAGCCTTTAGATCACAGCGCAGTTACTACTAAGCCTAAAAGCATCATAAGGCAAATCTCATTTTCTCTATATCCTAAATCAATACTTACTGTCTGAAAAATACTTTTACTGGCCTCTTTTCATGAGCTTCCAACCTGAGCTGCCCATTCTCTATGCTAAATGATTATTGTTTATCCGCTCTCTTTCTTTTTTTCCAGTATCCTAGTCTTTCTCCTCCCATGCCTTCTACAATGCATCACTGCTGCTGTTCTCAAATGCCTGAAGAGCTAAACCTCCATTTCAGATCTGCAAATAAGTTTCACACAGACACTACAACCTGTGTGTTGGCTGCATCCTTCAGTTCATTAAACAAGAGGGAATATAGAAATGTCTGTATATGACAAAGAATTATTTTTATCCATGGAAGTCAGATCCCACATTATAAAAAAGAAAAACAAATAGCAATGTCCTGCCATTCTCATTCTTGGATTTCTAACAGAAGAGGAGCAATTTATGAGTCCATTGCAATATAGTCAATTATGTCTTCAGCGTAGCTACAGCATGAGACTCACAGAGGCCAGGGAGGATGCTCAGTCTACAAGTAACATTCCATGATGTTTTTAAGAAAGCTTCTGTGAGGTCTGCTGCAGATAAGCAAAATAATAATTTGTGTTTCCTATGGGTTACCACTTGATTGAATCTTAATGGGATTTCATAGGAGTAACAGTAAGGCATACTGCTGATGCCAGAACTACCTTCCTGACAAATTTGAAGTCCCAGCTGTAGCCCAGGGAATGCTAGAGTTCTTCAAGAAATAATTAGACAAAAAAGTATCTCTTTTTTTTTTTTTTTCTTCATGTAAGTTTGGTGTCATAAGCAGCTGAATTGTTATTGCTAAAACTTTCCAAGCATTATTTAGTCTCAAACAGTGGCCAGAACAGAAAGTTTCATCCTCAGCAATGAGGCTGGTTTAAATTGCTCACAACTGAAAATGAAGTTAAGCAATCTTAATTAAAAAAAAAAAAAATCACAATATTCCTGCTATAATACATATTGGACCAACATGTGAATGAGGAAAATCTAGTTTAACAAGACAATAACGACAAGCCAACACTGGAATGAAACTATGGGTTGCCCCAATGAAAGCCTGGATAAAAACATGAAAGTTTGAATCCATCACCTTGCAGTCCAGGCTGTTCAACATTCTCTGAGACACCATTCTTTTCAGCAGGGCTTGAATACATAACATGTTCAGGCGGGAGATTAAGATGCATACCACACTTACTTTGCTCATCTGAATCCTGTGGTAGTTTAATTATCTATTACAAAAAGAAAAAAAAAATGAGAATAAGCAGTTGTGTATTCCACAACACCAGAACACGCTCATTTGTACAATATTTGTGAACCCTAGAAGCCTGAGATGCTTCTATGAGGATTTGAGGAAGTTTTTGTTTCTCTTTACTCTGTTTACTAACTTACTACTAACTTACTCAAGTTCTGTCTCTTATCTGTTTCCCAAGTACGTCTTCTCCATGCTTACAGACTAAAGGCAGACATCCCAGTAAATGGGTTTGACTCACAATCCAAATTCAGAATCATCTGGGAAAATACATATAGCCTGGATCATTAAATCATCCCAGCCTATATGTTTTGTTTGAAGACTAATTTTGCAGCTTTGGGATCTACCCCAACTACCCTACATTTTGACTCTTGTCATTTTTATGCCATAGCTTTACTAATGTCATTTCGGAAATTCTCTTTCCTAACATATCTTAGGTATATTTTGATATATGTATATAAATTCTTATTTATCTTCATGATTCTGAAACTATTTTCACATCCTTTTATTCTCGGTAGACCCAAAAATTAAGATTGCCTGAAAATCGCCACTACAAGAAAAATAATAACTACACATTCTATTCAGTAAACCCACATGTTATAATTCAGATGCTTTCAAAGTTCATCTACTTTGGTGTGTTTTTTCCTGAGCCAGACATGACTATAAAAAAGATATAAGTTTGAGGTCTCATTAAGATTCTGAATGAGGAAATGTACTTCACTTACAATAAAGCCCTTAATTTCCCAGTCCAGAAACAGAGAATGCTTCCGTTGAAAAGAAGTTCTTATTTCAGAACCATTTTCACCAGACATCCAAAAAATGTCACATCGTGAATAGGTTTTGGACATAATTCTAAGTAAGTTTCCTACCACAACAGAGCCTTGCTTATTAGCTGGGGATCCCAGACAAACAGTATCAAATGCAAAAATATCATAAAAAACATTATTTTTATTTTGTAGCCAAGCAAAAGTACCTCTGAGATTTACTAAATCTGTGGAGAAAATTAACATGTGCTGGTGGCAGGCTCAAACTGCATTTTGTTTTTTTTTTCCAACTTTTGATCTAATTTTTTGATCCAATTACTCAGCACCCCAAATAATATTTTGATATTTGAAATAATACTAAAATCTGGCTGAAAAAAAAAACACTAATTTCATGTAAAAGTTGGAGATGCATTTCATTTTCTTTATATACCTATTGGGTAGGTTGATAAACTGCTTCTTGGAAAGACAGTATTGATTTTAAGGCTGACAGAAGGAAAGTAGAATCTGTTCTGGAAGGAAAGTGGAATCTGTTCTGAGGAACAGTTACTAAAAAAACAGGCCTAATTTTTCTAAATACAAACCTGGAAATAGAGATTGCATAACCAGTGATCCAAGTCTTGAGAAATTAAATTTTCAATTTTCTTGAATCGGTCAATTTTGGAGTCGTAATGGCCCCTAAGGAAGGGACACTTAAATTTTCCCTCCAAAGTATTAAAATTGTTGTCACACACAGGGAAAGCTCCCCATCCCACTTCCCGATCAATCCAAGTATGTGTCCCACGAAGAAGGAAGAGTTCAAAAAGGAGGACCATGCCTGGCTTCACAGCTTTTGTAGGTGGTAGAACCTACCAAAGGAGAAAAAGAGAGATGTATTAGTCATAAAAACATCACAACCAGCTTTCTTGTATCATATAAAGCTCTACAAACTTCATACCTTTGAATCAATTTTGCACACTAAAACAATTAACAGCTCTTTCCACAAAATAATGTATTTGAACAATTTTTCACTCTGATAAAAAATGCTGTGGGTTTTTTTTCATGTTAATTTTATGATTTCATTTTTGCCCTTGGCTTTATGAAAGTGTTCACTTTCTGTCTTTATTTGCCACTGGTGGAAAAACATTGCCACTAGAAAACTTTAAGACAGAGAAACAATACAATTTGGAAAACTGAGGTGTCCCTGTGAGGGCTTACTGAAATTCACTGGGTTCTTCTTGCATCAGCCACGGAGAGCTCATCCAAATACCCAATGAGAACACTTGCAGTCTTGCTCCTCACTGAGTCATAAACTCTTCTCCACCCAGTTCTGGGAATAATACTGGTACACAATAACCCTCCTCCTTCAGATTAAAGCAGGAAAACTCTTCTTGCAAGGTATGTGAAACTCAAGGTAGTGTAAAAATGAATTTTGAGGTAATAAACTCAATAAATACTGTTTACACTTTTCATAAGATAGCTAAAGATATTCTTCTAAGCAGCTTGGAGTTGCGGAAGAGGGCTACCAATGCTTTAGGGGCCTAGAGCAATTGTGTTCCCATGGCAAAGACTATTCAAAAGGTCAAATTAAACAAAATCATACAAAAACTAGAGCAGGGAAGGTGATTACTATCATACTCTAGCTAACAGCTCTGAAGGGTAGCCACCTGGGGACAGGGGGGAAAAGCATATCAGCTACATCTCACAAAAACTAGAACAGGGAAGGTGATTACTATCATACTCTGGCTAACAGCTCTGAAGCATAGCCACTTGGGGACAGGGGAAAAAAGTACGTCAGCTACATCTCTCAAGCACCAAAATTTCTCCTTTGTCATTGCTCCTACACATTCTCCTGGATTATAGGGAGCTAGGACTGCTTCATCTCTTAAAAAAAATTATCTTGGATGCTTCCCTAATAGAGATATTGTTCTGTTATTTGAATTTTTTCTACATTTTTTTATTTGCATTTCAGTCCTCAAAGTTCATAGCAGCAAATGCCTTAGTATGCTTGCCTTGCAAACTCCTGCTCAGCCTTTCCTTGCCTTTCAAGGCAAGGGAAGGTTGTGCTTAAGAGAGAAAGAGGAACATCTTTGTCTTCTCTCCTACCTGTGAATTGGCATATACCTGCAGAAGACCATTACATTCACAGGTATCGTCTAAGTGTCCTGTAGGATATACCGTCAGTATTTTTTGAAATTCAGAATAAGACCCCCAAATAGAAGACATCCATCCAAACTGATCACCCACTATTAAAAATGTAAAATGCAGAAGTTCTCTTATATTAGCAGAGATTTCCTAAATCAGACAACATTCTGCAGCTGACAACCAGCCACAAACCTTTACTACTTCAAATATTTCTGCACATAAATACATATCTCAATGTAGCTCTTTCTTGACTGATATTTTTAAATACAAGTATTATTTTTATACTCCTGATAGAATAGTAGGCAAGACAATAAGCACAACTCGAGTACAGCCAAACTTTTTCTTCTCTTTCAGAAGCAACTAAGGAATTTACCCATAATAATAACTGCTATGTTAGGAAATGCTACATGTTCACAGTTGTGCTGCATTCTATATTTTTTTAAGAGATAAATATAAATTAATATTTCTAATAATATGGCTTCCTGTTTCAAGTTATATATTCGTTTTAGATAACAGCAATAGAGAGGAAGTAATTTAAGGAAATCTTTTAAAACTATAAATATTGTCATTATTATGTAGGTGTACTTTATATTAATTATGTAAATATATTCTAAGACTTAGTGTAGGCTTAAAATGAAACAGAAGCATCTGTTGAAAAATGCCATAACCCTGTGGCAGCTGCTATTAAACCATTAACAGTATCAGGTTTCATTTAAACCAGATTTACCATTTTCTGTAACAGCCCGTGGGAAAGCTAAAAACATTAGGCACAAATTACTGACAAAAGAGATCCTTAATCAAGCCATACATTTCATTTGGCTAGCTGGGTGCTAGACAGTAACCCCTGTGCTACAAAAAAAAGATAGTGGTTACAATTCTACGATCAAAGGCAGTTATCTGCATTATTGAACAATCCCAAAGCACACACAGCTAAAAGCACTGCCACCTCACAACATCCTTTTTGTTTTCTCCCTTGTTTCCCAGACTTACTCTTTTCTTAATAATAACACAACAGTATATGCTCTTTTGCAATTCTGCCTATAAACAGAGAGTGGTCAAGAAGTTGGTGTAAGGGTAATCATTGTGACTATTAAAAGTTTATTCCTTTGCTTCCTTCTCACAGTTATGCTTCATTTGCTATAAACTCTCATACTGGACATAGACTGCAAACTCACTCTTTCAGACAGGAGACATCCCTTTGCTTACAGTTACAGTAGCTGGGTATTTAAGTCGTGCCATGATCCAAACTCATAGCAACAAAACAAAACCAAGGAGTTTTGTCACATGCCTGTGTACTACAAAGACTGAGGTTGTAAGGATTATCATTCTAGGAGTCCTTATGCATGAACACTGGGTGTCTGGCCCAGGTAGAACAGTATCACACATCTGTTTGCGCAGTCAAATAAAACTTACCTACAAGTAATAAAATTCTTTCTGTTGAATTTACACAAAAATCCCAGCTAAGTCTCTACCTGTTACTCCGTGCCAATGTGCCAAGCACTCACACAGGCTCCTACGGGATTTCATTTCCATCCTGACGACCACCAGAAGTGTGATTTATATGAAGGAAGTGCTATTTAGGAAGGGACAGCCAGGCTGAAGCAGAAAATTTCAAAAAGAAAACAGGTCTGCTCAACAGCCTCATGATAAACTTATTTCCATCACCACGGAGAACACGCATCTCCATCACAGCTCGCTGGTTCTCAGCCACAGAGTCAGGCAGGCCTGGGAAGAAGTGCAGTGTTGTTCCGCCAGCCCTTCGTTAGCCTCCTCCCCGGTAACAAGCCTGGGAGGAGGGATTTGTGGTACTGCCAACACAAACCCATCAGCATAGGTGCACAAAGACATTTAGGCACATTGCTCCAATTGAAATCCATGGTCCTTGAGTGCCTGCATGCCTCTGTGGGTTTGGGCTGTCATGCTCAGGTACAGGGCAGGGAACAGCTCAGGGGTCAGAGGAGGAGGAAGGGAATCAGTAATTGCTCTCTCTCAAGAGACTCAGGGCAGTGCTCGGGACAGGCAAGGCACAGGCAGCTCTAACTGGCCAGTTTGTTTTCATGAACTGTTTTGCTTCTGAAAGGAGGGAGGAAAAAAAAAAAAACAAAAAACAAAAGCAAATAATAATTACAAAAAAAAAAGTAAAAAATCAGCAGTAGTATTTTCCATGCTGGTGGCAACTTCTTATGAGGCACTATTTGGTAAGTCGGTCCACAAGTCTGCACCAACACTGTTGGTGTTCAAAGATAGCATACTGTGTAAACACAGCATCCTGGGTTTTAATAGGTCTACTCTTTAACACCATATCTCGCCGTTTCTCTTTGCTCAGGTAAAATTTGTATTGAGGTCTGTGAGGTATATAGCCTTTTACAGTGCTATGAAAGCATCCACCGCCCATTTTCTACAGCTGTAATTTCTTCTGCAAAGAGAGATGCAGCAGAGAATAAATAATGTTATGTATGCCTGCACAGGCACAAGTAATTCTTCTTAGTCTGCAGTTAACAGTGTTGCATTTAATTGAATTAAATCATAGTGAACTAAAATTATCTCTTGCCACTATTTCTGAATTCAACTGTTTTATATCGGTTTTATTGTAATACATCTTACTTCCCCATATGCCACCATAATTTCAGCAAAGAAATCGTTTACTCTAGAGAGAGAATGAATTCTATTTGAATATTTCAATAAACAGACCCAGTGTAAGGATTTGGGTTTTTTTGTCTGACTTACTTTTAGGCTTTAACCTTGTCAGAGAAGAAATAAACCTTTGCTTCTCTCCTCTACACCTTCAAATACTTTCAACTTTGAAGAAAAAGGACATTGCTTAATTCACGTAACACAAAAAATTTGACCACTAAACATATACAACCCAAATGGATTAAAGTGAATTTGAATATCAAAAGGTAATTCAATGTTTACTTGTTACACAGAAGAGCCTCACAAAACACCATGAACAGCTCATCATTTCCAGTTATGAAAACTGCAGCAAACAAATCTCAGTGGTGTACAACACAGGTAGAAAACCTTTTAAATAAGAAGCAATTCCAATCAAGCTATTTCGTTAACAAATAAAAAATTATTTCACTATGTAAAATGAGTAGTGCTGGAGGCAAGGCTGTTATTGCCAAAATAAGGTGGGGTTTTCACAACCAGATTTCAAGACCTCCCTGTTGATGTGAAAGGCCAGCATATAGGCAGAGGGAAGGGCATTCTTGGGAAGTGTTTGTGTAACTTTGAAATTTATAAAAAGCCAGAGGAGAGGGAATAAAAACACAGACTGAGGTAAAAAATAAAATATCATGTTATTAGGGTTTCCAAAAGTCCTATCTATCATCAGAACGTCCTGGAGTAACTGGAAACTTGCTTCCCCAGCCCTCCATCACTGCCTGTCTTTGAACAGGTATCTGAATACAAAATAACACACAAATCAAAGGAAGACCATGCAGCTCCACACTATCACTCATTTCCCCATTTTCATTTTTTTAATTTAATTTCTGAAAAAATGAGCACAACTTTCAAGCCTGGCATAGGTCAAATGACCTTGACTCTTTCCTCTCCCTGCAGCTTGCACATCTCCTTAAGCCTTTATGCAGTACCACCATCTTTCCTGTATCCCAACTTCCCTGATTGTGGGGAATTACAGACCAGAAGTGGTTGTGGCAGAGCACACAAGCTCAGGATCACAGATGAGCTGCATGGAGTACAGGGCAGCAGTATCTGTAAGCAG